TTAGCAATTTTTTCCAGACTGCTTGTTGGATCAAAAGGCTTGTGAATGCAGAGTTAGGTCTTCTATCCTAACTGTGACAGTCACAATCTGAATTTATGTCCAAGATTTCACTCCATATGCAATTGTCTGTTTTTAGGAAACAACACATTCTCCCAAATCTCTGAATTAAGGCATTTTTGACTTGCTGTGTCACTCACTAGCCACTGGTTGACGGCTAGCTCTGAAGATCCTGTTAGGTTTGCTTGTCACTGGCTGGAAACCCCCTCACCTGGTCGAAAAGCAGCTGGACCCATCTTGCTGGAGGATAGTGTTACCATCGCCTCCTTGGGCCTTGCTTGGCAGGAGACTTGAACACACAGAACTTAGGTTCAGGTTTGTAAATGCTTGGATTCAGGGCTTGGGCGCTGTTCAAGGCTGGTGCTCTACCACTTGAGCTGCAGCTCTGTGCACTCCTTCCTTCCCCACTCTGCTCCAATTCAGTGTTCCTGGATTTAAAGTCACACCTGTAATTCAGATTTTATACAGTTTATATCACAAAACTAAGCTTTTAAGCCAGCACCGGTGGCTCACACCTGTAATCCTAGCTACTTAGGAGGCTGAATCTGAGGACCGCGGTTCAAAGCCAGCCCTGGCAAGAAAGTCTGTGAAACTCTTATCTCCAATAAACCACTCAGAAAACTGGAAGTGGCGCTGTAGCTCAAGTGTTAGAGTGCCAGGCTTGATCTGAAGAGCTGAGGGACAGCACTCAGGCCCAGAGCTCAAGCCCTGACCAAAAAAAAAAAAATATTTTATCATTTCCTAAACATCACATTAGGATTTTTAATGTGCCTTGCAGACTGGACAGCATCTTGCTCTATCTTTAACCCAACATCCTCTGTGTGTGTGTGTGTGTGTGTGTGTGTGTGTGTGTGTGTGTGTGCACGCGCGCGCACGTGTGTGCACATGTGCATGCATGCACATGCGCATGCATGCAGTCTGTAAAATACTGTTGATTGTGCCAGCTGCTGGTAGCTCATTCCTATACTCTTAGCTACTCAGAAGGTTGAGATCTGAAGATTGCAGTTCAAGCCAGCCCCGGGCAGGAAAGTCTGTGAGACTCCAATCTGAACTGAACATTGAGTAGGACAGTGATGATAACCAAGGCTTGGCCAGGTCAGTTTCCAGTGATGGAGTGTGCCCAACACTGTGAGCTGTAAAGTACTAGCTCCTTCTGCCTCTCCCATCATATGTCTCAGCAGGTTAGCCTTCTCCCACTGTTCCAAAGTCTAATCTGAGGGTTTGCTTACAGGGCGGCTGGGGAGACTCTTTGCTGGGTCCAGGAACCTTGCAAAGTGCACTTAGAGTGGCATTCTGCACAATTCTTCTGTGAGCCCAGTCCTGGTAGATCACAGTCCTTGCCGGTCTTGAGCCTGGTGATCACTTTTTCCTATTTATCATTGCTCCTGAAAGTAGATAATTCTTGTCATCTCCAAAGGGAGAGTTGTGAGAATCTGTTTAGATTTGTGCTGTAAGTTTAGTGATAGGGAAAAATCATTATGGTATTGATAGAACCTAATCATGAAGTCACTGACTCTGGCAGAGAAAGTTAAGAGTGTTTGCAGTGATTCCAGCAGTGTCGAGGACTGTTTCTAGACATGTCAGAGATTCTGGACTGCCAGCCTTCCTTTTCCTTAGCACAAATCCCTTGGTTTCAGTTGTATTTGACCTGGCTTTATTGCAAAAAAATAAAATAAATAAAAATACATAACCTCACTATTTTAACAACTATTTTCCATTTTGTCAGTGTCTTCTATAGAGAATACTAACATTTTGCAATGTTTGTTGTCTTCTAATTTTGCATTCTCTTACACATATATTTCACTTTTACTTAGAATGAATTCCAAACTTACAAAAAGTTGCCAGAGGGGACTGGGAAGGTGGCTGGCTCAGTGGTCGAGTGCTCGCCTCACATGCATGAGGCCCTGGGTTTGATTCTTCAGCACCACATAAGCAGAAAAAGCTGGAAGTGGCACTGTGGCTCAAGTGGTAGACTGCTCGCCTTGAGCTGAAGAGCGGAGGGACAGCACCCAGGCCCAAAGTTCAGGCCCCATGACCGGACCCCCCCCAAAAAAAAAAAAAAAAAGAAAATACTTTCTAGTATTTGGGCTTTTCTTCAATTTACTAACACTACATCTTCTGAGGATTTCAGTGGGACTTTAAATACCCTTTGGCACACTGGAAAATGAAACCCATTGATCAGATTTTTAAATACTTACTACAAAGTCAGCTGTTCCTCTATCATTGATAAAGTGTTTGGTAGGCCCTTCATTTTTAAACATAGTCGTACATCTTGGAGTGAATCTTGTGTCTTCACCTTACAGTGAATGGTGGCCATAGCAGACCATCAGAAGGAGAACTCTGTCTCTCCTGAGCTATGGAGCAAGTGCAGATTTCCTGATGCTACCATTTGGCAAGAGTCCATGGCGGTATGCTTCTGGCCTCCTGTGGGGAGCCAAGGCGCTCCCACCATACCCCAGGACAGCCCAGGTGCCTGCCTGTCATCACCATCTGCTGCTTCCCTTCTCCACCTCCATGCTCATCATGTTTGGGTCACAGGATGTTCCTTCTAGATTTGTTTTTGTCCTCGTTAGGCATTTTGTGATTTTCAGATGAGCATCTCCAGTAGCTCTTCTCTATGATTTTCAGATGAGCATCTCCAGTAGCTCTTCTCTATGATTTTCAGATGAGCATCTCCAGTAGCTCTATGATTTTCAGATGAGCATCTCCAGTAGCTCTGCTCCATGGTGTCTTAGTTGCCTATTGTGGGCTCACTTACCTTTCCCATGCTTAATACAGTTACTGGTTTTCAGAGCTTTTGCTTCTTCATGATTCTCACTGTGTACCTTTCCTATTTACTTGGAGGAGTATAAAGAAACATTCAGACAATTCAAGGGAAAAACTATGTGTCCATACTCCTTTGTTCTCATGAATTCATATTAACCAGTCTTTTCAGCTATTCGTTTATTTTGTGCTGGTACTGGGGCTTGAATTCTGGGTCTCTGGGTTTCTCTTATCTTTGTGTGTGTGTGTGTGTGTATTTGTGTATTTGTGTCTCTGTGTCTGTGTCTTGTGTATCTGTGTGTCTGTGTCTGTGTGTCGTGGGCACTTGAACTTGGGGCCTGGGCAAGGCTAGTGCTCTACCACTTTGAGCCATGGTGCACTTCCAGCTTGCTGCTGTTGTTGTTGGTTGTGGTGGTGGTGGTGGTCATGGGGCTTGAGCTCTGGGCCTGGCCTGGGCGCTGTCCCTCAGCTCTTCAGATCAAGGCTAGTGCTCTACCACTTGAGCCACAGCGCCACTTCTGTTTTTCTGAGTGGTTTATTGGAGATAAGAGTCTCATGGACTTTCCTGCCCAGGCTGGCTTTGAACCGTGATTCTCAGATCTCAGCCTCCTGAGTAGCTAGGATTACAGACATGAGCCACCATGCCAGGCCATTTCCAGTTTTCTAGTAGTTAATTAGAAATAAGAGTTTTACGGACTTTCCTGCCCAGGCTGGCTTTGAACCCCAATCCTCAGGTCTCAGTCTTCTGAGTAGCTAGGATTACAGACATGAGCTACCAGCGCCCAGCTTCCCTTATCTTTTTTACTCAAGGCTGGTGCTGTACTTTTGGGCCATGTCTCTATTTCCTTAGCCTTTTATATTATCATATTGATAGACTTTTCCCACATTTTTTTTCCAGTTTTTTTAATTTTTTTTTTTTGGGTCCGGTTATGGGGCCTGAACTCTGGGTACAGAGGGGTTACAGTTACAGAGTAAGTTAATGAGTACATTTCCTGTCGAGCATTGTTACCTCCTCCTTTTTTACCACATTTTTAATATCATTGTAGTCCTATGGCTTTTCTCCGTATGGTTTTTTATTTGAATGGGCCTCATCTTGGCCAGTAAAAGTTTTGGCAGGATGCTGCCCTGTCCTTCCCTCCTGTGGGAACCAGTGGGGAGGCCCCTGTTTTTCAGATACAATGTGGGTTCCAGGACCACACTGAGATAAATCCAGTGCTCTCCTGGGTTCTGTAGTGGGAAGGACTGTGAGAGACTAATACCTGGATGCCCTGATTGCATGTTTTATTTTTATTATTTTTATTTTTTGCCAGTCCTGGGGCTTGCACTCAGGGCCTGGGCACTGTCCCTGAGCTTCTTTTGCTCAAGGCGAGCACTCTACCACTGGAGCCACAGCGCTATTTCTGGCTTTTTCTTTGTATGTGGTACTGAGGAATTGAACCCAGGGCTTCATGCATGCTAGGCAAGCGCTATACCACTAAGCCACCTTCCCAGTCCTCATGTTTTCTTTTATAGTTGAGCCAGTGTCACTTCTGTGAGGACACACCATGGGCAGAGCTGGAAAAAACATCTTTGATGATTTGGGTACAATTTTGTGTAGTGTCAGTTTGGCTTTAAGCATTATCTGATCCTTTCTCTTTCCCACTTCTGTTTTGTTATTTAATTGTTTATTTATATGTAGCCTCCTTTGTAACTCAGCCTGGCCTGGAACTCAGAATCTTCCTGTCTCAGTCTCCTGTATACTAGAATAACCAGTGTGTACCACCACAGGCTTCCATGTCTGTTTTTTAACTATATGTATCATCTTTCCTATTTCTGTGAGTAGTCATTTTGTTAACAATTGCCAAATTGCTTTCCAAAAACCTTTGAACAGCAATACCGGTTTTGGATGCCAGCCACAGTTGTATGAATATGCTTGCTTTATCAAAGTCATTATTGAGTGTCTCTGTATATTGTAAACCTATTCAATCATTGCTCTTATCTACTCTTCTCTCTTAATTAAAAGTGCACAGCGCTATCTGTGGTTGCCTTAGCTTGGCCTTGAGGGGTTGGTTAAAGACTGCAGTGCCGAAAGAGAGATGAGGACTGGCCTGCCACACACATCAGGATGTGAGCAGGGAAGAGAGAGGGGAGGGCTTCAGCCCTGATCACAAGGCAAATGGGCTTTCCTGCCCTCAGCAGCTGCTTAAGTCTTACCTCTCTCCTCTGTGCCCACAGTATGATGCTGTTCCCATTCAGTCCAGCGTGGTGTTATGTGCCTGTCCGTCCCCATCAATGGTGAGGGCCCAGACCGAGTCTGGCGCAGCCTCTGGCATTTCCAGCAGTGTCAGCAGGCAGGGATCTACCATGGATGGTACCACAGCTGAGTCCCGGCCAAATACCAACCCCCTGCAGCACGCTGCCCAGCCGCCTCCACAGCCTCGTAAGAAACGGCCTGAAGACTTCAAGTTTGGGAAAATTCTTGGCGAGGGCTCTTTTTCAACCGTGAGTATGTGTTGTACTGCTTGTTAAACAAGCTTGTATCCCTCTCCGTGGCTGGTCGTAGTGGGCCTTGGAGCTAGCATACCCGACTCCACGCCACCGGCCAGGCCACTGGAGTCTGGGGAGGGGGTGGATTTCCTCTAGTAGACCCCCGAAGAGTGTGGCTAAAACATCTAAACCTGACTTCCATCTGGAAGCTGTACAAAGCATTGTTTTATACGGGTGACATGTACATGCAGTACTAGTACTTGGGAAACTGAGGCAGGGTGACTGCTTAAATCCAGGTGTTCAAGGCTGGCTTGGCAGTATTGTGAGACCGTGTTTCAAAAAAAATTAAAAAAAGCATCTCTTGATTGATTGATTGATTGATTTTTGTTTTAAGTAAAATTTGTGGTTTTTGGCAATATTGGGGTTTGAACAACTCAGCAATTTCCATTTGCTAGGCAGGTACTGTGCTGCTTGAGCCATGCCTCTAGCTCAATTTGTGTGTGTGTGTGTGTGTGTGTGTGTGTTTTAAAACACAGTTAAAATTTCATTCTAATATAGTACTAGCAGTTTATCTTGTTCTGTGTCTCCCCACATGTTTTCAGGCTACCCTCCCTACAAGCTTTTCAGTTCCTTAGGTTGAAAGTTAGTATTAATGTTACTATCTCATCAGAGATTTTTGGTTGCATTTAACTACCTTTTTTGAGCACATTTCTTTTTTGGGGGGAGGGGGGACGGTCATGGGGCCTGAACTCTGGGCCTGGGTGCTGTCCCTCAGCTCTTCAGCTCAAGGCTAATGCTTTACCACTTGAGCTACAGCGCCACTTCCAGCTTTTTTCTTTTTGCTTATGTGGTGCTGAGGAATCGAACCCAGGGCCTCATGCATACAAGGGAAGTGCTCTACCACTGAGCCACCTTCTCAGCCCTTTAACTACCTTTTTTGTATCTTTTTTGTGTGTTGGTGGTTGGTTTGTGTTTTGCTTGCTTTAATATGTAAAGTAGTATGCCTTGAACATTTGTTTTCAGTTTCATAAACATAGATATTACCTTGGTTGGTACCCTCAATCATCACATTCATGAGATTTACATTTTCTAGTGTTTTTTCCTCTGAAACTGGCAACCTCAAAAAAAGTTTTCCAGGTGCCAGTGGCTCACACCTATAATCCTAGCAACTCACAAGGCTGAGATCTGAGGATCACAGTTCAAAGCCAGCCGAGGCAGGAAAGTCCATGAGACTCTTATCTCCAATAAACCACTAGAAAACCGGAAGTAGTGCTGTGGCTCAAGCAGTAGAGGGCTCACCTTGAGCTGAAGAATTGAGGGATAGCACCCAAGCCCAGAGTTCAAGCCCCACGACGGACAAAGAAAAAAAAGAACAGCCCAGTCACAAAGGTAGTGAGACTCTGTCCCACAAACAAAATGAAGCAAAAAGAACTGAGGACATAACTAGGTAGATCCTGGGTTCATTCCAAAATACTGTCAAAAAACTTTTTTTTTTTTTGGTCTTTCAATGCTAGAGATCAAACCCAGGGTGCTGTGTGTACTAAACAAGTATCGGGGTGTATACTGTCAATTCAAAGCTCCCACAAAAAGAGATTCTGGCACTGGGCGGCCTCATTTTGTGGTCTCCATTCTCACATGGGCACTGGAGGTGCCTCACTTTTGAGAGTTCCTGAATCACCAGTCTTTCTGGCATGGCCCTTATGAAAGAATCCATATATGAAATTTATTTTCTTTTTATTTTCCTGTCTCTTTTTTTACATTTATAAAGATTCTAAAATACAAAGAACAAGAACATCTGGTTTAAATTAATGCTAAACTTCTGTAGCCCATCCCCTTCTTCCCCCCCCCCCCATCTCTCTCCTTCCATATATGTGTGTGTATTTATTTATTGTGTGCTGGCCCTGGGCTTGAACTCTGGATCTGAGCACTGTCCATGAGCTGTTTTTGTTCAAAGCTAGTGCTCTACCACTTGAGCCACAGCACCACCTCCAGCTTTTTCTGTGATTAATTGGAGATTGGAGCCTCATGGACTTTCTTGCCAGGGCTGGCTTCAAAACAGGATCCTCAGATCTCAGTCCTGAGTAGCTGGGGTTACAGGTGTGAGCCACTGGTGCCTGGCTCTCTTTCTCTCTTATCACCACCACCATCATCATCAGTGATTATTATTATTATTGTTGTTACTATTATTATTAGTTGTGGAGCTTGAACTCAGGGCCTAGGCACTGTCCCTGAGCTCTTTTGCTCCATAATGCCACTTCTGGTTTTCTGGTGGTTTATCGGAGATAAGAGTCTCATGGGCTTTCTTGCCGGGGCTGGCTTTGAACTGCAATCCTCAGATCTCAGCCTCCTGAGTAGTTAGGATTATGGGTGTGAACCACGTTTGCTTGGCTGGTATGCATTCTTTCTCTCTCCCCCCCTCCCTCTCTCTACACACACACACACACACACACACACGGTCACACACAGACAGTTTTTGTAGGTGGTGGGGCTTGAACTCTGAGCCTGGCTGCTGTCCCTCAGCTCTTCAGCTCAAGGCTTGTGCTCTGCCACTTGAGCTACAGCGCCACTTCTGGTTTTCTGGTGGTTAATTGGAGATAAGAATGTCACAGACTTTCTTGCCAGGGCTGGCTTTGAACTGTGATCCTCAGATCTCAGCCTTATGAGTAGCTAGGATGACAGGCATGAGCCACCAGCGCCCAGCTAGCTGGCTCTGTATTTTTAAAAAAATGTAATTTTACTGTTATTATGAAGGTATTGTACAGAGGGGTTGCCATTTCATAAGTCAGATAACGAGGACATTTCTTTTTTGGACATTGCCCCTTCCTTTACTGGTTTCCCTGCCCTTACACTTTTAATTTAGATTATTTTCATTAGCAATCTTTGTGAAATAACTTTGTTTTTAGAAAGATTGTGTTGCCCTTGTGGGGAAAAAAAACCTCAACTCCCAACCATGAAAATAGCTCCAGGGGTTCTGGCTCTTACTGCTCCTTGCAGGAAGAGACCCCTTTCACCACTATGACAGGTCAGTGAAGTTTCCTCTCACCCGCAGCTTTCCTCCTTTATCTTTTTTTTTTTGGTTCCAGTAGTGGGGCCTGAACTCTGGGCCTGGGCGCTGTCCCTCAGCTCAAGGCTACCACTCTATCACTTGAGCCACATCGCCACTCCCACCTTTTTTTCTTTTTGCTTATGTGGAATCGAACCCAGGGCCTCATGCATGCAAGGCAAGCGCTCTACCACTGAGCCTCCTTCCCAGCCCCCTCTTTTATCTTGACTAAGAATGAGGACTTACTTGTGGTATCACCCTTGACCCCGGGTTGTTCTGGGTGTGCAAGAGATGCACCATCCTTCCTGGGCGCTGCAGCTGTCTTGGCCAGTGCTGAGCTGCTTGGGGACAACTGCAGGCCTGCTTGGAACCTGCAGCCTCCACCTCAGATAGGGTTTCCTGCCAATCTGCCTCACCATTTCTGAAACAGCGCTTAGAATTAGACTTCCAGGGAAGGGTGAGTATGCATGTGAAGCAGTGTAGTTACCAGCAGAGCAGAATCTTGACATGGCAGAGCCTAGTGCTAGACAGTGGGCAGGCCCCTGGGGACACTTCTGCTGCCATGGAGGAAATCACAAATCACACGTGATTTTTCTAGAAGATCCTTCTGTTCCTGTGGGAAACCTGCTTATGAAATTCTAGACAATAGAAAGATTACATAAGTATCTCCTTAGAAAGGATTCTACTGAGTGATAGTGTTCTATGACAGCTTCTTCTTCCCTTTTCCCGAGTGCGAAGCTTGCACTTGTGCTTGTGACATGTTCTTCATTCTGACCATGGAAGGGCCAATGCTCCCACAGCACAGCTGTCGCTGGCACGCTGTAGTCAAACGTTGTACCCATCAGTTGCTTCCATTTTGCCTCAGGTGTGCCTAGAGTTTGCTAGTGCAGATTGGTCTTTTCCATGTCAGGGCAGCTGCGTTGGATACCCTGTCCCTGCATGGGGGTATCCTGGAAAGGTGAACTCCTGTGCTGTTTCCTCTCCTTTGCCTTTTATGCCCATGATCACATTTAGTTATCAAATGAAATGTGAGCTTGCAGTGAATATATCCTGAAAGGACATATCTTTCAACGTTTGTTTGTTTTGTTGTTTTTTATTTTTGGTAGTGATAAGCCTCCAGCCTATTCTTTTTTTGTTTTGTTTTTGTACTGGTTCTGGGGCTTGAACTCCCTGAACATTTGTGTTCAAGGTGAGCATTCTACCACTTTGAGCCACAATGCCATATCTGGCTTTTCAGTAGTTAATTGGAGATAATCTTACAGGCTTTCCTGCCCGGGCTGGCTTTGAAGCAAAATCCTCAGAGTAGCTAGGATTACAGGCATAGTCACCGACACTGAGCCCCTGGTTATGGTTTTGAGACAGGGCCTCGATCTTTGCTTGGGCTGGACTCTTCACCTCTGCCTCCCTAGCTAGAATTATGAGGATGAGCCACCAGCACCCGAAGAAGTCTTCGGTACCCACTTGTTGATAGTATTTAGAAATGTTAGTCTAGAAGGTTCTTGAATTTATACTTTCACTACACGATGAAGACTACCAAAAGTTGACCCTTGTGAAAGCACATTAACATGATCAGTGGTTCTGTGCTGTTTGTTGGTACAGAGCTCAAAGTATTTAAATATTTCAAGCCTTGTATAGGAATGGGGAAGTATTTGTCGGACTCTGTTTCCTGGTATGTTTTCCTTTTCCTTTACAGTGTGTTTTACAGTGTGTTTCTTTTTATTTTTCTTCCCAAACCAGGTTGTCCTGGCTCGAGAACTGGCTACCTCTAGGGAATATGCCAGTGAGTACTACTGTGAGCTGTGTACCTGGGATTCGAGGCGGGCTGGGTGACAGTGCGGGGAGGGGTGGGGGAGAGGGCGTGTATTCTACATTGGGAGTCCAAGGCCTGACTAGTCTTAGAGACCATGAAGCTGGTATAAGTGAGTGATTTTAGAAAAACTACAATTAAATGGTATCTTCAGTATTTTTTTTTACCTTTTCCAACTGTAATAACTCACTTCTCTCTACCTTAAGTTAAAATTCTAGAGAAACGTCATATTATAAAAGAGAACAAGGTCCCATACGTAACCAGAGAGCGAGATGTGATGTCACGCCTGGATCACCCCTTCTTTGTTAAGCTTTACTTCACATTTCAGGACGATGAAAAGTTGTGTATCCTTTGTGTGATCAGTGCTACCTGAAGTCCCATCACCTGCCACGTCATAGTTTTTCCTCCTGATTGTCCCCTTCCCTGGAAGGGGAAGGGAAGACCCTCCTCCTCCCGGACCTCAGGAGTTGGTAGGATGCTGCTGTCTCGGTGGCTCCCTCTGGCCTCCGACATCTCTCTTCTTCTCCCTCCATCTCTGCTGCCACTGCTCATACAGCAGCCTTTTCAACTGTTTAGATTCTCTCACTTGTGTGGCTGCCTTGATCCCTCCCTTTTGTCCCTTGGGTCCCCTGCGACCCCTTCTCTCTTTGAGTTGGTGGGGTTCTGGCTGTTAGACGCCCAGCAGTCCAGGCCTGGGCTTTCCTGGAGCAACACTATTGGTTATGAAGCTGTGTCACTTCCAGAATTACCTGAGACAGCCCTCTTTATCAGGGAAGGAGCTTGTGTAGCTCACAGTTTGGAGGCTGAATGGCCAAACAATACTGTGCAGGCCGTGGCCCTGTGGTGGATGGTGGATAGTGCATATGTCTGAAGGAGTGATCACATCTTAGGCCGGGAAGCTGAAAGAGTGATAGAGTGGGGAGAATTACCAGTTAACAAGGAGTGAGAGTCTGTCTCCTATTTAATGACTCAAGGACTATCCACAGGTCCTGCCTCTTACAGTTTCTACCACCTTTCAGTACTGCCACCCTGTGGACCAAACTTCTAATCACACGTACTCTTGGGAGATACCCAAACTCTGGCAGCTCTGGCATCACACTTGACTTGGTATTCTCCCACCATTGTAGCCCAGATGAGGGTGCTCTTGTAGTCTGATTTCCAGATGGCGCTGGCTAGAACAGGTGGACATGACTCAAGGTCTTTGTCTGGTGGTATATATGTTCTTGATCATTTAGGCAAATTCCAGAGTCCTAGTACATTTATCTTCCATAAGCATGAGATCAAACAATGAATTCTGCCCCCACTGCAAATCCTTGATGTTCATTGTGTTGAGAAGTGACTGCAAGATATACCCACATACCTGCAGAGAGAAGGCGTCTAGGGACATCCTTGCCACAGACTGACAGTAGGCAGATGGAGCTACAGAGGAACCATTGAGGCTCTACACCAGATACAATGAGGGAGAGGAGGAGAATGAGTTCAGAAGAAGCCTGTCGGAGACAAGGTCTCCCCCCCACATGCAGCTCTGACTGGACCACAGCCTTAACAATAAAGAATCTTTCTCATGCCGGACACTGGTGGCTCATGCCTATAGTCCTAGCTACTCAGGAGGCTGAGATCAAAGCCAGGTTCATAGCCAGGGTAGAAAAGTCCGTGAGACTCTTATCTCCAATAAACCACTCAGAAAACTGGAAGTGGTGCTGTGGCTCAAGTGGTAGAGCACTGACCTTGAGCTGAAGAGCTGAGGGACAGCGCCCAGGCCCAGAGTTCAAACTCCAGGACTGACCAAAAAAAAAAGAACCTTTCTCGGGTACAGATTAAGACTGAAGGGGGCTTGAATGCTGCTATCTCCAGCTCTTGCCAGGCTGGTCTGTACCTATTTTTCCTCATGATATAGGGTCATAGCATGAAAACAAGAACATTGCCATTGACCTCAGCTTAGTTTCGGTCCTGTCTTTAGCTTTGTTTCCTTTGAGTCTCTCTCTAGCACACATCTCACAAATAGATCAAATGAATCAAGAATTTTAGAAAATGGTTCTCTTCCAGAGCATGTCACTTTTATGCATAGGAGGAATGGCTGCATGTGTGGATTGTTGGTACCGCACACCGTGCACAGAGGTTGAGGCAAGGCTCAGAACTGTGCACTGCCCTGTAGGTTCAGTTGGATCCCGTCTCCCTGAGCTGTACCTCTATACTTGAAGCCACCATATGTTTGTTGCTTGTGCCTTGGCCAGGGGTTGCAGGCAGGCCTGCCAGCCACCTAGTGGTTCCCGCTCATAGGCCACAGATGCCTCTGGGGATTATGTGACCAGAAGTGCAGTCTGCACTGAGATGCCATCTGTACTTTTCCAGGGACTGTGTCATTATATCTTAGAAGGAACCCTACACTGAAGCCTGGTCCTGGAGCCGGGCTTGGATCTGACTCAAAAAAGAACAACTGTCTTGGGAGCACACAGGTACCTTCAGTTTGCGTTTAATAAACATTTCTTACTGGATTGTTAAGTCTATTAAAAAAAAAAAATCTTCCCTATTCTTCCTTAACTGTATGATGTTCAGATTTTGGCCTTAGTTATGCCAAAAATGGAGAACTGCTTAAATACATCCGCAAAATTGGTTCATTTGATGAGACCTGTACCCGATTTTACACAGCTGAGATTGTATCGGCTCTAGAGTATTTGCACGGCAAGGGCATCATTCACAGGTAAGAGAGCTCCCCCTCCCCCCCAGGGGCAGTGCTCACAGGACCCTCACTGTAGTGACTAGGGTTAGTGGCCATGTGGCCTGTAAGCTACGACTGACAGCCAGGCCAGCCCTCTGGGGTTAGCTCTGACTTACTTTGTGGCAGCTCACTGAGAGTTGAGAAAAGGCGGGTGGTGGAAGGAATCTGCAGTCCCCGCCCTTACAGTCTTACACCATCCATCACCGGTCACCATGGCTGTGTGTCTTCCTGCAAGGCAGCCACTTGTATCACCTGATACTTTCATTTTGTTACTTGTAGCTTTTCTGTCTTCTTATTTCTGATCTCATTTCCCAAGAGTTTATTCTGATAAACTCAAATTGAAAGTACTCATAAGCTCTTTATGCATTGAAAAATGATAGGTTATTTTTCCTTAAAAAGTTTATTAAAAGTGACATAGTTATAACTGATATAATTTGATTGTACTTATTATATGCATTTTCTGTTTGGTGTGAACTTCAGGGGTTAGATTCTTGGTTCTTAATCTGTAAACATGATAATTACTCATCAGTTATGTTTTATTACAATGCACAATGATAATGCTGCTCTTTTAACTATTTCAAATGTAGAAATCTTACTTTTACAGGGACCTTAAACCAGAAAACATTTTGTTAAATGAAGATATGCACATCCAGATCACAGATTTTGGAACAGCGAAAGTATTATCTCCAGAGAGCAAACAAGGTGTGTGTGAGCTTGATTTCCAGTAGGTAGAACCTGACTAAGCTGAAAGCTGAGAGCAATTCCAAGAAATGTGTTACATTATGTCCTCTTGATAGTTAATGTGCCTGAGGCCTGCCAGAAGGTCTTAGGCCGCGCTTGTGTGTCTAGTAGTGGAGGGAGGCTCTGGTGGTACATGATTCTGCACAGTGCCAGTGGACCAGGCATGAGGTTGACTCCTGTGGATGCTGCAGGAAGTGTCTCAGGGAGCGTGCTCCTGGACTCGGATGCCTTCTGCCTGCCCATCCCTCTGTGTGCCCCGTCTGCTGTGTGCAGATGTCTATGGTAGCTCAGGCATTCTGATTGTAGAATCTACAAAATTACAGGAATGGTGGCTGATTTTGCTGCTGGTGTACTGGCTGACCTTTCAAGTCCTGTCCCTTTGAGTTAGCGTTTGGCCACCAGGACCAGAGGAGGTTCTACACAAGCCTCTAGCTGCCAGGGAATGGCTGACTGACTTTCTGATGCGGACTGGATAGAAACCACATGCTCTAGAGGTGTAAAGAAATGCAATTGAACTGTGGACTGCTGCAACCTTGGTAGAGAGGATGTGGTCTGAGAGGAAGGGTGTTGACTTGTAGGTTAATTAATCTCATGAAGGGGTCTTGGCCCTAAAGCACGTGACCTGTGGTCAGGAGGGTGACCTGTCTCTTCCTGCACTTAGGGTCCCTGTAAGAGAAAGACCCTGAAGTACAATGCTGGGGGATGCGTGCTGTCCACAGGCTTGGAGTGTGTGTACACGTGTGTACGTGTATGTGTACGTGTACATATGGTCTAGGAGAAGGTTCTGACAGAAGCATCATGGTGCCCTGGTTGCTTTCTGAGAAGGGATGCAGTAGTGAAAGGTGGTGGTGCTTCAGCCTCTCCACCAACAGCAAACTGGTTCTTGGGAGTTTGAGATGATGACAGCAGATGGAGGAGATGCGTATTGTGTTCACACAGTGCTGCTGGAAGGAGCTGACAGCTTCCCCCCAGCAAACCTTACATTTACTCCTGCTGGAGTTCCTTTGGCGAATGTGCTTGACCTCTGTGTAGGTCCTGAGGGGATAGGCTTCCTCCTGGCTTGGGGAGTTCCACAAGTTCTAACGTGCCATCCTTGGGGAGTGATGTAAGGCTTGGAATTGAGGAAGATGCTCTCGTTTGCTCAGATGGGATAGCCTGGTGCCCTTTTCTCCTTCTGATACTTTTGAGATGCCCTCAGAACTGGTCTGTTTGACTGGTTCCTAGCAAATAGTGCCCATCTTACTGGCAGGTAATCTTATTTTTATGGACTTGGTGTAACCTCATAGAATTAAGTGTCCATGACAGTTAAGTCAGGTTTTCTTGTGGTGATCTGTCAATCCCTTGTCATACTTGTGCAAACTCATCTCAGCTGAGACAAACCCACTGTGTTCAATCGTGGGAACCTCCCAGCTGGGCTATGCTTTAAGGCATTTCTTTCTTCATGCAAATTTTCTTCACAGTTTGATAATTTAGCACAGGGCTACACTTTAATTTTTTTTTTTGTCAGTCGTGGGACCTGAACTCTGGGCCTGAGTGCTGCCCCTCAGCTCTTCAGCTCAAGGCTAGTTAGTGCTCTACCACTTGAGCTACAGCGCCAGTTCTGGCTTTTTCTGCATTTGTGGTGCTGAAGAATCGAACCCAGGGCCTCACACATGCAACGCAGGCACTCTACCACTGAGCCACCTTCCCAGCATGCCACAAGGCTACTTAAAAATACATAAAAATTTAAATTCTGTGGTGAAATAAACCTTTTTGGAAGCAGGAAGCTAAAAAACCCTTAGGTTGTTATCAGCAAGGGACAATCGCTTTTGCATATGGAGGAGGTGGCAGAGGAGGTTTTCTTGCTCCTTAGAGAAAAAGAGAATAACGCATGATTTGTTTTAGTAACTTATTCTCACCTTCTGTTTGAAGTTGTTCATAATCTTAGAATCTCTCTCTGATTGGATTCTTTTTCATTTGCGGGGAGGTAGTTTCCCCAAAACATCTTGAAAGCTTCTAAATAAAGTGCTGGTGGGAGCCAGGTCCTAGGCTCCTCATCTGTTCAGTGGGCATGTTGTTCTGTCTCCCTAAGTCTGCTTGTTCACCACAGACTTGCATTTAGAGGGAGCCCATAGGTAGGTTGGGGGCTCTAGCCACAAGGGCAGGTGGCGTGTGATAGAGCCAGGCAGCTGTTGAGGGCCAGGAAGGCCCATGAGGACTTCTTAGTTGTCCTCACCAAGTAGCTGTGTCCTGGTGAGAGCAGCTAAATTACTTGGAGTAAGACCCTCATCTGCCCCTGGCTTTTGCCCTCTTTCCAGAAGCCTTGAGGAACTCACGATATCCTGGAGGTTTAGACATGGGGTTTGTTCCTGGAAAGCTATATTCTGTTCTACGAAGGCCTTTCTGGTATTCTTCCGAGCGTGGAGGGTCAGCAAAAGGAAGGGAAGAGGCCAGCAGATGTCAGTAAGTGGCTAGAGTGCGGACAAGAAGCTTCCTTCGCTGCAGTGGCTCCACAGGGCTGCCTGAGGATGCCCATTGACTGGAACCTCAGACCACCTGCTGGCCTGTGGGTTCAGAAGGCAGGCCTTAGAGCCAGCCATCTTGGCCTTGCTGTCATTTTAGCATGGCCAATTTGATAGGCTTTCATGTTTTCATTTGCACTTCTTTGGTTTGTTACTTAGTTGAATGCCCTCCTTTTGGTTTTGGCTCTTGGTTTGGTTTAGTTTCCTCCTGAGCCTTCTTCGTTTTCCTTCCAGTAACTTTCAGGATCCTGGCAGGACACACAGGAAGCCATGAAATTGTCATAGTAAACCATGTACTGAAGGGACCATTTACAGGGCTGCGGAACCAACAGGCTGGTCCGTGTAGTGGAGCTATGGCCGGAGGGGCTCAGAAACGGGGCTGTCTGCCTGCATGGCAGCAGGTCCTCTTGTTCTTGGGGTTGCCAAGGGGTCTCCAGTGAGGGGTGGGTCTAGAGTGTCTAGGTGCCAACCCTGTGGCCTGCAGGTAAGTGTCACACAGGCTAGGACTGGAGGCACCAGAATGGAGAGGGTTCCTGGGATGGAGGCCCGAATCTTTCTTCCTGAGCTGTTGGTGACTGAGAAGAGGTGCTTCCTGGCGACAGCTATCTGTTAGCAGCTGCCTGGTGTCCAGCAGTGAGCACAACACACAAGATCTCTTTCTTCGTGCTGCCCCTCTGTGGTGGCAGGATGATGAGTGGACAGGACAAGTGCCTTTTACACTCAGTTGTCAGAGGAGAGGGGTTCCAGGGATGAGGACACATGTTCTGGGGGTCAGCAGGTATCATCAGGTCGGGTCTGGACAGTTGGATTCCTAGGACTTCTCAGTTCACACTGGTGACCAGTGCCAAGCTCATGATGAGCTCGGCTACCGTGCTGTCCTGATGAATGGGCCAGGGAGCCACTTTGGTAGAAGTCAAGGAGTATGCTTTGGAGTGTGATCCTTTCTCTTTCTCTTCTTCTCAGCTAGGGCCAACTCATTTGTAGGAACAGCGCAGTATGTTTCTCCAGAGCTGCTCACAGAGAAGTCGGCCTGTAAGAGGTAATCACTTATCCAACTGTCCTCCTCTCCATATCAGCTATTAGGGTTCTTCATGAATTCATTGCTGATGTGCTGTGCCACATCGAGTTACTGCAGATCAGGCAGGTGGAAGGGCGGCATCTTCCAGTTCCAACTTTAGGAAAAGTCTAACAGAGAAGCATCTTCCTGAGGAGTGGAGCTGGGAGAGCTGGCCAGGACACTTCAGTCCACTCTTGATCAGTTCATGCTGGTAGAATACCAACCATGAGCAAAAAAGCTAAAGCAAGAACTTGTGGCCCTAACCTAAGTTCAAGCCCCAGTTCCAGCACAAAAATAAGTAAGAAAATAAGTAAGTGAAGGAAGGAAAGGAAAGAGAAAGAAAGCAGTACAGTTATGAACACAACATGTCCCGAACCCCACATAGGAGGGAACTGAAGCTGTCACCTTTCCTGCCATCATGCTGTTTCCTGGCTCGTGCAGCTCTCCTGTCCCCCTCCATACACTGAGATGACCCCACAATCTTCACCACTCTTGTGTTCTAGCTTCCATTACCAGCTGCCCAAGCATCAGTGCTTACCTTTGGGCCACACTGCCAGTCCATTTTGGAAAAGTCTCTGTCTGGACTGGCTTTTTATCATGATCCTCTGGATCTCAGCCTCTTGAGTAACTAGGATTACAGTGTAAGCCATTGGCACCCATCTGTACAAGAATTTTTTGTTTTTTTTGGTCGGTCATGGGGCTTAAACTCTGGGCCTGGGCCCTGTCCCTCAGCTCTTCAGCTCAAGGCTGGCGTTCTACCATTTGAGCCAGAGTGCCACTTCCAAGAATTTTTTTTGTTTTGTTTTTTGTTTTGTTTGTTTTTTGGTCCAGTCGTGGGGCCTGAACTCTGGGCCTGGGCCCTGTCCCTCAGCTCTTCAGCTCAAGGCTGGCGTTCTACCATTTGAGCCAGAGTGCCACTTCCAAGAATTTTTTTTGTTTTGTTTTAATTGGGGATTGAACTCTGGGCCTGGGCGCTGTCCCTCAGCTCTTCAGCTCAAGGCTAGCACTCTACCACTTGAGCCACAGCGCCACTTCTGGCTTTTTCTTTTTGCTTATGTGGTGCTGAGGAGTCGAACTCAGGGCCTCAGGCATGCAAGGCAAGCGCTCTACCACTGAGCCACCTTCCCAGCCCAAGAATGTGTGTGTGTGTGTGTGTGTGTGTGTGTGTGTGTCTCTCTCTCTCTCTCTCTCTCTCAGTTGTTGTGGGACTTGAATTCAGGGCCTGGGCGCTGTCCTTGAGCTCTTTTGCTCAAGGCTAGTGCTTTACAACACTTGAAGCCACAGTGCCTCTTGCAGTTTTCTGGGTTAATTGGAGATAAGAGTCCCATGGGCTTTCCTGCCCAGGCTGGCTTTGACCTGAGATCATCAGATCTCAGCCTCCTGAGTAGCTAGGATGACAGGCATGTATAAGACTTTTTTTTTTTGGTCAGTTAGTACTTGGACTGGGGGGCCTGGGTGCTGTCCCTGTGCTCTTTGCTCAAGGCTAGTGCTCTACCACTTTGAGCCACATTTCCACTTCTAGTTTTCTGGTGGTTAATTGGAAATAAGACTTTTCCTGCCTGGGCTGGCTTTGAATCATGATCCTTAGATCTTAGTGCCCAGCTTGTATAAGAATTTTTTAAATGCTCAGTTGAAACAAGTCATGCCATTTTCTGAACTGTACCCATACCATGAGGTAGGATTAAATCATACACATATCTGGTTTTAAGGGACGGGAGCTCGCTGGAGGCTGAAACTGGGGTGGTGTAGATTGAGTGGGCAATGAACCTTGCTTATTACTTTTGCCAATACCATTTTTCTTTGTCTTTTCCCTACCTTAAAGTTCAGACCTTTGGGCTCTTGGATGCATAATATACCAACTTGTGGCAGGACTTCCACCTTTCCGAGCCGGGTAAGAAGGAGCCTGCACTTGTCAACCGACAGCAAGTAGGAGGGTAACACCAGGGCTCACACCCAGCTGAGGAGGTGCAGCTGTGCAGGGCTTGTTGGCTTGTGAGTGCTTGAGAAAGAGCAGACTGAGATGTGCCAAGAGAGGGCACTGGCTGCCGCTAGAGGTTCCAAGTCCTGCTCAAGTGACTTCCTCTTTTTTTTTTTAATTCACAGAAATGAATATCTTATATTTCAGAAGATCATTAAATTGGAATATGACTTCCCAGAAAAATTCTTCCCTAAGGCAAGAGACCTTGTGGAAAAACTCTTGGTAAGCATTTTGAATTTTCTATGTGAGGGGTCCCACAGCCACTCAGCAAATCCTCTGACCCCATGTTCAGAGAAGCAGCCGAGAGGCCCTCCTGCTGAAGGAAAGATGTATTTAGGGTGGACAGTGATTATAGACAGACACATATCTTTATATCATATCATCTCCTCTCATTATCATCCCTTTCACTTTCCAAATGCCTGACTCTTGACTTTAATAAGACAGGAAATTACTGCATCATTCTACATGTGCTCATCACCACATGGCATTGTAAGTTATTGCTGCTAGAGCAACTGGGATTTATTGCAGTGGCAGATGGCTGTAAATTCTACTCTGACATCTGCTGATACCACCTTTAGAGTAAGCTGCATGCAAGCTTTATAAAGATCAACCCAGGTAATGAGGCAGAGAGAAACAGGTTTACCTGGGAAAGATGTGTCCATTTGTATTCTAGAGAAGGAAGCTTCCCAGCCCTTATGGCTTTGGAGCCTCCCTCCTTTCTAAGTCTTTAGGAATAGGTCTGTTCTACCTCCAGAGGCAGGACCAGGATCAGCTACTCCTAGCCATCCTCCTGGCCTCTTTCCCCCACTTCACCCCTCAGTGAGAGTAGGCTTGATCCACTTGGGAACCTGGGAGGCTCAAGCTCATCCCTGGGTGAGACGATGTTCCACTGCATCTGTGAGAGCGTCTTCCCAGACTCTGTTTCTCCCTTCTTTGTGGCTAGAGTCATCAGTTCATTTCACCCTTGTTTTAGGATTTATTTATTTAGTGTGCATCCTAGGGCTTGAACTCAGGGCCTGGTTACCGTCCCTAAGCTGCTCTGCCCTCCTCCGCCCCCTCTCAAGGCTAGTGCTCTCCTATCTGAGCCACAGCTTCATTTTCCGCTTTGTGATAGTTTATTGGGAATAAGAATTTCATGGAGTTTACTGCCCTGGCTGGCTGTGAACTGCAGTCCTTAGATCTTAGTCTTCAGAATAGCTAGGATTACAGATAGGAGCCACCAGTGCCCAGCTGGTTTAGTATTTTTGACTTCATGCTTTTTAAAAAGGAATCTTCCTTCTCTCTTCTCTTCTCTTCTCTTCTCTTCTCTTCTCTTCTCTTCTCTTCTCTTCTCTTCTCTTCTCTTCTCTTCTC